TTTGCCAATGGCAGAGAGATAAATGTAAAACCAAGGACTGGGTTTTGTCAACCCTTCTCATGCTTGTCCAAGGAACAAGACAAAGGAAGACATCACCTCTAAAGGCACATCATCAGCTACAGGTCCCACTGCACCTGGTGCATTCCTCTATTTCTAATGACTGCTCCATCACTGGCAAAAATAAAACATGCACGTATGTTTCTGCATGTGTGTGGCAGAGGACAGAAGATAAATGATTGAAGTAAGTATGCCCGCACAGTAGTGCAACCACGCTCTGAGCTACGACACTGGCCCCATTAATCACCTCCGCTCCTCCCTCTATCGCAGTTCCTTTCCACAGTTGGTGACATACACCATGCCTGGCTTCAAGGAGACAGCTGCTCCTGTTGATTTAAGAAACCCCTCGGATTCCTAACCACCAGACAGGGATCAGGAAGTCAAGAAACAGTCACGTGCAACTAGGAAGCTGTTAACTGCAGCCAGAATTTAAAGGGTTTTTTTGGAAAAAAGAAAATCTGTTGTTTTAAAAGGATGGGCTAAAGAATGCACCAGAGGGATGCACCTTCCCTCTTCCACTTTATCAAATATTTTTGTTTCCATTCAGTGTAAAAATTAATTTTAACATCTTAATGATAGGTATTTGTTGTTTTGAACTGAGAGTGAATGGATGATACATTTGCTGTCCCAATGGGTGAGGGACTGACCCCCTGATAATAGCTGAATGCTGCTACTAGTACTTAAATGTATAATGGGGTGGGTGATGTGACTGTTGAAAAATTCTAACTTCTAATTTTGCTGTTCATCTAGGAGAGTAGCAGTTGGATCAGCAGAAAAACACAGTGCTAGGCATCACCTGGGGTGTGCTCCCTTTGTAGTGGATACACATGACAAGAGATAAATAGATTCTTTCTGTCCAGTCTCTGCAAGCCATGCAGTTTTCTGAGAATCCAACCAACTCATATATATATATACATAAAAAAATACAAACACACACACTACATATTTCCTATGGAAACTCAATAATGTATTTCATTCAGAGGTGTTCAAAAGAACTAATATTTTGTTTGACTGAAGCAGCTGGAACTCTTCCTTTTTTTTATTCCTATTTACTTTGGGTTACAGCTCTCCTATGGACAGTATAGATGGATCCCAAGCTCAGTCATTAGGTACACCCTGCATTTCTTAGTTAAGCTTTTGAGGTTAAAGGAAGAGAATATGAGAACAAAAAGGAAGTTAAGTCCCAGCCTTGCAGAAATTTCTTCCTCTCCACACTGCCTGTGTAATTTTACTTGAGCCAGTATTCCTGATGGAATATATGTGTGGGTAAAGCTCTGCACACACGTCTGAGTTCACAGTGCTGTGGGATGCAGGCCATAATTCTTCACCTTTGAAGTCAGTAGGAGCTTTAGGAAGAAGAAAGAGGAAGGATTGTGGAGTGGTTATGACACTACCCACAAAAAATGGTTTGGTTCCCATGGGTGATACAAATCTCTTGCATGATCACAAGCATGTCATTTGGGTTTAGACCTTCAAAGGAAACTCAGCACTTAACCTCCACTAAGTATCTTTGAAGCATTTGGTTTTATCCTTCCTGTCTCTCAAAAGTCCATCTGCGAAAAGGGGACAGCAAGACTTTCTGACTTGATGTTACATACAAGGCACTGGCTGAATCTAGCTGTTGAAGGACCCAAAGGAAGATCCGAAGTCCAAGACGATGGTCAGCGGTAACCTCTCTTCCGACAAATACTTTGTGGAAGGAGGTTGGGATTCTGCTGCAATCGTTACTATAAGAGCTAACAACATACTTTAGCTCAGAAAAATGCATCAGCCATATCTCAAGATCTATGCTATGCTGTCAGCTTTGTCTACAGAGACAGAGAGAAAGAAATGAAAAAAAAAGAAGAGAAAAGCAAAATATATTGGTGCAGAGTCTTTTATCACATTTAGGGCTTACTGCCAAAGTTCAGCTGAAAATTCATAAACACCGGACTACATTTAAGTACATTTTCTTATTTACTATTTTTTAATATTTGGACAAATACTCTGGGCAGAGGCATGATGCCAGAGTTGTGAATATCTATCTGCAAATAAATTTTTTGGACACATATAATCAACTTTGGTTAACATTTTTTTTCCCTGCTTTGGATCTACTGGCTACAGTGGAACTGCTCTAGATTCAGTCCAGTATCAAATCACAATCAGATGTGGAGGAACAGTGTTATCGTTCCTACTCCTATACACCACATTTCCCAATCCTCTGATAA